TCTTCTCCCCTCGAGTCTCCATGGAGACCCGGGTGCCTTCCCCATATCCCCGGCTGCGGCCGGACCCTTCGGGGGGGCATGAGGCCCAGATGGGGATATGGGGAAGGCATTTGCACCCCACAGACCCCTTGGCCACATCCCCAGCCCCTGCTCTCATGTGTGTGTGTCCCCCCCCAGCCCTCAGCCTGAAGGAGACCTTCCTGGTGCTCTCGTTGCACAACAAGCTGAGGAGCAAAGTGCAGCCCCCCGCCGCCAACATGCAGAAGCTGGTGAGTACTGTCCCCCCCCCACAACCTTGGATATCCCCCACCCCATGCCCAGGGAGAGGGGCAGCCCATGGGTGCCACGCAGTAGTTCATTAACAAGTTAACGAAGCAGAAGAGCTGGCTGGTGTGGGGCCCCCAGGGAAGAACATGCCACCAGCACCAGTGTGCACCCAAAGGCAGCGCTGGTCCCTTGGGGTTCCTTGTGGGGTCCCCCATGCCCTTCTGATGTCCCCTGATCACCCCACACCTGCACACACCAAGGGCAGGGCTGGTCCCTTGGGATCTCCCACATCCCATGATGTCCCTCAACCACCCTGCACACCACAAGGGCCAGGCTGGTCGCTTGGGGTCCCCACTGTAGGATCCCCTGTGTCCCATGATGGCCCTTGATGGCCCTTAATCACCCCACACCTGTGCACACCAAGGGCAGGGCTGGTCCCTTGGGATCTCCCACATCCCATGATGTCCCTCAACCACCCTGCACACCACAAGGGCCAGGCTGGTCGCTTGGGGTCCCCACTGTGGGGTCTCCCATGTCTCATGATGGCCCTTGATGGCCCTTAATCACCCCACACCTGCACACACCAAGGGCAGGGCTGGTCCCTTGGGATCTCCCACATCCCATGATGTCCCTCTGATGTCCCTCAACCACCCTGCACACCACAAGGGCCAGGCTGGTCACTTGGGGTCCCCACTGTGGGGTCCCCTGTGTCCCATGATGGCCCTTGATGGCCCTCAATCACCCCACACCTGTGCACCCCAAGGGCAGGGCTAGTCCCCTGTGGGGTCTCCTCCACATCCCCTGGTGGTCCCCCAGTCACTGCAGGGGGTAGAGCTGCTCGCTGGGGTCCCTTGCAGCATCCCCCATGGCAACCCTCCGATGTCCCCCAGTCATCCCCTGGACCGACCCCCTTGGTGGTCCCCAAACTTCCCCCTGGGGGCTTCCCCCAAGCATCCCCCACACTGGGGCTGTCCTGGAGACCCAGGGTGGCTCCTGGCCCCCCTGCAGGAGTGGAGCGAGGAGCTGGGGCGGCTGGCAGGGGTGCGGGTGGCCAGCTGCCTGGAGGGTCCCGCTCCCCCTCCGGCCCCGCAGCTGGGCTGGAGCGAGTCCCTGCTGCCGGCGGGCGCCGGGGGCTTCGTGGCCGTGCTGGAGCGCTGGTTCGCCCAGGGCCGACACTACGACTACAGGACGGGGCGCTGCGCCCGGAACGCCACCTGCCGCCATTACACCCAGGTGGGCAGGGGGGGCTTCGGGAGGGCGAGGAGGGGGAGAAGGGGGCTGTGGGGGCTGTGGGGGCGCGTGGACAGGGGTGACAGACGCTCTCTCGCAGCTGGTGTGGGCCACAGCGGGGCGGCTGGGCTGCGGGAGGCACCTCTGCGCCGGCGGCCATGGCCCCAGGGAGGCCTTCGCCTGCGCCTACTCCCCGGGG